AACAAAATTTCTAAATTAGGTGCCAATCCATCGAGTAGATGTTAAGATATAACAGAGGATTAGTGAAAAATGGTGGTGCTCAGGAAGAAGTCACAAATCATAACGCTAAGGGATTGGTCAGGAGACCACCAAAGTAACGTGAATGCATTCTCTGTGGATTTCTGGAAATCTACCCAACAGTTTCAGTTTCAACACAAGTGATGGTCCAACAGACACTGTCATCCATAGTGTCACTGCCGGCATCAATAATAAAAAAAGATATTCGTTTTTATAAGAAAAACATTGTTACTATTATCAGCATTACAAGTTGTTAAAGTTACTTACAGTGTGGAACGTAGAGCAGAAGTTGTCTAAATAAATCCCAGCATTGAAAATCTCTTCATGTGTCGTGTCAAAAAATTCCTTTGACTTTAAACTTTAACTTTTGTCTCAAATGCACTTTACATGCAGAAGAGTGCGCTATCATCTGGCCGTGCCAAAGTCAAAAATCCCTCCATCCACTATCTATACACCGCTTAATCCTCACTAGGGTTGCGGGGGGCTGGAGCCTATGCCAGATGACTTAGGGCAAAGGCAGGGGACACCCTGGACAGGTCGCCAGTCTATCGCAAGGCTCCACTTAGAGACAGACAACCAAACACAATCACCAATCACCAATTGACCTCAACATGTTTCTGGACTGTGGCAGGAAGCCAGAGAACCCAGAGAGAACCCACGTTGCACGGGGAGAACCTGCAAACTCCACGTAGAAAGATCCCGGATGTCCTCACAGGGACGCAAACTGGTGACCTTCTAGCTGCAAGGCGACAGCACTAACCACTGAGCCACCTTGCAGTCCACAAGGTCAAAAATCTATAGGGAAAATATGCTGAAGTCATTAAGTCATTCTTGGTATTTGTAAATTTCATTTTTTTGATTCTTGCTTTGAGAGGACTTGCACAGTAGATAAATACTACTGTTGTATTTGGCTACAAAAAGGTCAGAATAAATAAAAAGAGTTTAAAAATAACATGACTTTAAGGAAACACAACTGATATTCATGTGAAGCAGGCAGTGAGCCGTAAGTGCTCTTCAAAGAATCTGATGCGATTGTGATGATGCCACATTTTTCAACAAACATCAGCATGTGTGAGAAAAAAAAAGATCATATTTTTAAATGATAACAGATTCTTGAGAGCACATGGAATCCATTATTGAGGCGATTTGTTATGTCGTCAAATTACTAAAGCAGGAAATAGCACTACTGAATAAATCACGCGTAGTTCAGTGTCTGGAAATGAGCATGGGTGTCTGGGTGCGTGGGGGTGGGGGGTAGGGGGGTGGGATGTGGCTTTGCTGTTTCGATGTTGGAACACGGCAGAGGTCGATTCAGAAATTTTTCAACACAGTGACAACCAGACACTAGCTCACTAGCATGGAACAGCACAGACACTGATTACACAATCCCAACTCTGTTTACGAATATGAGTCACGCAGGCATCAGGGATCAAATCAAAGGTTTGAGAGAAGGACCTTGTTCATGGGACAAAGAGGCATTTCAACACCCACACATCTTTGCTTTGAGAGTTAAAATTCAAGGGCTAAAAAGGAGGTCTTAATGTGTTGATGTTAATTGCATGTGCCTGTATTCCACTGTACCTGTTTGTTTATGTTTTTAGCAAAATGCGGAGATCTGCTCTTCAGAAGTGTTACCAGGTCCGCGTACACATCACTTGTTCGCTCGTAGCCACTCTCCTCCCCCTCCTGTTTTATGCCCTGTGAAAACAAAGTGAAAAACAGCTTCATTAATTCTAAAAACCACAATTATAATGTGGCCCACATGTCAGCTGGAATAGCTGAGGTTAGAAAGCTCAGAGTATCTCCAGGCAGCCTTAGAGTGTAAAACCATGTAAACCGCTAAATTAAGTTTAAGACACTACTGCGCTTTGAGGTTTCATTTGCATCGATGTCCCCTGCTCAGTTTTAGGTTGGACTTTTTTCACCTTGCTGGAACCATTTCCAGGTGAAGAAACAGAGACAGGAAACCTAGGGCTTGTCAGCGAAGTAATTGAAAGGTGCTGCAGCGTGCACAATTCTTTCTTGGAAATGATTGCAAACAGGTTCAGAGAGATTCCTGACGTCTGACAAGTATCCAGAAGCTGTGTACATAATAGCAGACTTTGGGACGTTTGGGGGGGGTCCCAGATATGTGATTTGTTTTTGACCATACAGATTTGAGTTCTATAATTGATGTGTTTGGGTTTGACTTAAATAGGCACATGCTACAGTGACTTTTAACAGCATTTTGTTGTTTAGCGATATTCACTGTATTCTAAACAGCTTTAACGCCACTGGATTAAGGCAATCAGCCCTTAAAGAAAGCACTTGCCTGGTGTCTGAAGGTGTTGGATGCCATAGAGCACTGCCTCCCATGCTTGTTACTATTGCATGTGGCTGTCTCACAGACCATTCTAACTGTACAGCCAATGTACAGAGAGACTTTAACTTGACAGAAGGGATTATTCATGGCATCAATTTTAAAAAGTAGCACTGTAGTCAGAGCTTCTACATGTATTGTTCTTACTTTACTTTGATCATTTTAAAGTCTGGTTATGTATCTCAACTGGATATCGTCTTTCTTTTTTTTTTGCAAAATGTGACACATCTTTGCCTGTTCAAGGTGTTTTATTTTTAAGTGAACTCCTTCAGAATCATTGTCAGTCATCTATCAGAACGTATTTACTAAAAAATGGATGTACATTTCTTGCAAGGATAAGGGAAACAGTATTTAATTGACTGCTGCAAGTAATATAGCCCACAGCGTTTCATCTTACTGGGGTTTTTCCTCCATAGAGGAATTTCTGACGGCCCCAAAGAAACTTTAGTCAGTGTCAAAAGAAAATCAACAAATTTCTAAATGATAAGAGTCAAGATCTAAAAACTGAATTTTTAAACTTGTATTGTTGACTGGGGTTTCATTAACTCAGCACAGCAGACATTTCTATTACTCAGTGGTCAGAAAAGAGGGGGAGATGCATAGATGTCTGTCAAAAAAGTTCAGTATGCTTGAGCTGTAATGACTAATCAATGAATTGTCAATAACTGATTGTGACTTTTTCAAGACAAAAAGTCCAAATTCTCTAAGTCCAGTTCTTCCTAAATTTGAATATTTTCTTTCTGTGACAGTTAATTGATGATCCTTTTGGTTGGATTGTGGACAAAACAAGATATTTGAGAATGTCATCTCAGGCTTGAAAAATAATGATTAGTTGCAGCCCTTCAGTCTGTGGATTGATTGTGCTTGTGTCCTGATGTAATCACCCCCTGAAGGCCCATTCTGAGTAGCACAAACCCTTCTTCCTAGCCTTACCTCATTAAGAAAAACTCCAGCAGTGCTGTAGGTGATGTATAGGGTCTCAGCGTCACAAGGCTCAATCACAAGGTAACAAATCTCACCATGTACCTGTCTCCACAGAGGGGTGCGGCAGCCATTTGAAAATTCAAATTCTAAAAAACATGAACAAGAAAAGCAACTTCAAACTCATAGACGCCTTAGTGCAAACTTTTCTATATGAACCTCGGCATGACATCAAGTCACAAGAGGTTTGTCCTCACAGGAGGAAGGAAACACAGGGAAACTGAGAAATCCCAACGTATCTGGTCTGCTAAAGAGGACAACATAGAATTCCAAGGAGAACAGGTCTGAGCACAGGCTTGAGCCATAGTTTGTCTCGCAATATAAATCATCCACTAAAAAACTGAGCCACATATTTTGAAGCTGGTTTGCAGAGTATTTTTATAGAAGGTGTCAATTCAACCGCAGAAAAAGGGGACACAGACTGCATTCATCACTCTGTGTGTGCATGCTGCTGAACGCTTTGTTAAGGCATGATGAATACACTGCAATGAAGCAAAAAGCATGTGCTGACTAATGACTTGGTAAACTGGAATCTGACAGATATAATGACTTCCATGTCTTTTGTGGCGGCAGAGCACAGACTTTTTATGCTTTGTAATATCCAGCATTAGTGTTAATAGCAATTGCTTTCCTTGCAACCCAGTGAAATGTGGAGATAATTCAAACCTGATGTGTATCGAAGCGACTTCAACACCCTCTTTTCCCCGTCACTGCAGAGCTGCTTCAGCAACTCCACTTCATTCTTCGCTGCAGCGGGGTCAAGACTGACTTTTCTACAGTGAAAACGTAGGAAAGCAAAACAAAACAAAACAACAGATTCATTCATGGTTACTTTTCTAAACATGCTGCTTATTCCAATCAGATATAACCACATGCAAATCGGGTGGGATCTGCCTGAAAGAAGAAGCCGAGGAGGATATATGGTAATCTGATTGAATATGAAGAGGAGATAAAGAAGAAGCACCCACTCTGAGATTTCTTCAAGAAGCTTGCTGAGGATCTGTTTGTCCATTTTTTGGAGAAAGAGAAACAGCTTGCCTTTGACCTCCTTGGCTGGGTCTTTCACTTTGTCCACCACACTTAGGGCATCAGTTTGGGCGTCTTCTCTCTCCAAGGTAGTGGCGAAGCTCCTACCAAGAATCTTAACCACAGGGTCTCTGTTTTCTGAACAGCAGAAGAGGTTGGCTTTAGTGAATAGAACTCAAAGGCTGTGAGTTGGGTTTTTTTGAACTATCAATAGAGCTGACCTTAAATGTACTGTGTTTTTTCCCCACATGCGTTTCTTTACATAAACTTAGCTTACATTGCATCTCTTTAAAAATAAATCCACTGGCAATGGGAAATGAGTATCACTATATTCCTCATGTGTTCATGTGACAAACAAATACATATGAGCTTATCTCTCCTTGGCATTGCCCCTAAAGTAAATACATATCTGTAAAGAATTGCCAGTGGCAGCATAATTAGATGGTCGTAGAGAGTAACAAGGAGGACAAACAAATTAAGTCTGTGGGTTATGGAGGTATGCGGGTGGTTGGATTACTCAGGATGCAAATGGGATTCAAATCTCATCAAGCTTACCTTCTAGACATGCTCGAACCTCCTCCAGCTTCTTACCATCTGCCAGATGAACTAGTTTAGAGAGCTGGCTGAAGCTGCGTACATAAACAGCAGGAGGAGAGAGCTGCAACAATGGAAGCCCTTCACTATCTTTTTCGTGGGACTGTACAGCTGAGTCACTGAGTTGGAAATAAAACACAAGAAACTTTAATCCCACTGTTTTATCACTGCTATCATTTGTTTTATATTAAACTGCAAATACCAGAAAACATTAGGGAGATGCAACTATTTTTGTTTTTTTTACTTCTCCAGGTCCCAGCTTAGAGATACAAAGTAAACTACACACTGAAAGCAGACCAGAAATTCTGATGAAATCAAATGGAATGTTCTCAGTCCTACTGAAGCTGAAAAACACATTAATTATAGCCTACTGCTTTGACTATAGCCGAGGTAAAATACATTTGGACACTATGGTGACAGCATATCCTGCACAGGCACGTAATAGTGAAAGCACTGGCCAGCCAGCTGCCTGCTTCATGATTAGACCAACCTGATGTCATAGTCTGTTTTGAAATCAGATGCCACTAAAGTGGTCCTCCACTGGAGTGGCTCCTCAAACACATGCTCTGCCTCCTGTGGGTGTTGGGAACTGAACCGCTCCACAAAGCGCAGGATTTCTTTCAACAAGGACTCATTCATTGGTGTGAACTCCAGTTTGCCAGTACCGGAGCTGGCCGTGGTCCACTGGGCTGCCTTGGTCAGTGATAACCCCATGGTACCACCTGGAATATTGCGAAACATAATATTAGCGACCACTTTAACAGCGTGTGTGAACATCACCGAGCTGCAGCTTCTCAACTGTAAGGATCTAAGTATATTTGGGTTTGGGACTGTTGGTCGAAGAAACTGCCTTTACATATCTTTCATTCATCAACATTTTACACTTCCAACAATTAATAGATTATTCAAGTAATTTGCAGATTGTTTGATAATGGCAATCAGTGCTAGTTCAGCTCCATTATTTTAAATCAATATAAAATCAATTAGGATCAACATGTGTGCTTACATCACCAAGATCAGCTCATAATCTGTGTAACAGTCCTATTTAAATGGCTGCTGCCAAATTTGTAAAAGCTGCAGAGGTCTTCAAATGTTTAAACTGCATCTGTATAGATCTCAGTGTTACCCAGGCTGCTGCTGCTGAGAGGATTTTCATAATTTTCATTGGACAAACTGAAAAAGCCGTGGCTAAATCCCCTTATAAATAACGAGTCTTAATTCCCTGTACTCAATAATAACTCTTGATCTACTTGTGGTAAAGGGGTAGGGGTGGCATTAAATACTAAATATTTCTCCTTCTAATTACAAAGGAGATTAATGTTCGGATTGATTGCAGAACATTCTCAGCAGCTGAGGCTTAGCTCAGAAACATGTTGTGAGCAGCACAGAAACAGACAGGTGAGCTTTAGGGTAAACTCTGATGTGTTAGTCAATTATCTAGCCATAGGTTTAGCAGCTTAATCAAAAACAACACAAGAATTAGCTGTTGACATGGGTTATAGATAGTTCTGGACATTGCTGTGGCTCTGTCGTTAAACTCTAGAGTAAGTAAGAGAGCACAGCTACACAACTGCTAAGCATTCTGGGAGATAGACACACGCTTGTCCAACACACAGGCAGTAAAACACATATAATAAAATAATGAAATACTTTGCATGAAGCTGTTTGTTCTTGTTGGCTGCCTGTCAAGGAGCGAGAGGTGAACCACACAGACTAACAATACTAGCTTTGTATTATTGTCATGTTATTTTTCCCCACACAAATTTCTGCATGTTTTTACTGCACACAGCTTATTTATTAAGTGCTTACTGTTTATATCAAAGCTCAAAGACCTAGGAGAATATACAATTGCGATTTTATTTGCGATAAATATATATTTTAAGTCAAGCTTTAGTTCTGTGTTCTCTCTCAGAATTATTCAATGAACAAAACCTTGCATTTTTTTTCATTTTTGTAGGTTCATTAAAAAAAATACAAGTCATGTTACTCTTCATATTTTTTAACACTGTAAAGTTTTAGCCTTAATACTTAACCTTTAATTCCTAAGGTCAGTCAGGGCTACTGGAAAGCACTTTGGCAACGGTGGTTTAAATCTGAAAAAAAATATATATATATATATATGAATAACGGTGACTTGACCTGTCTTGGCACTGAAGTCCCTTGTGAATAACAGCAGAATTAATGAAACGGGGGGGGGGGGAAATGACAGATTTTAATCGTTTATCGAAGTGCATCATTTTCGTGTATATGCACACGTAGTACGGCGAGTTAAATCACTATCATATCACGCCGCTCTGCCGGCTTGCTTCCAACGGCTTCCAACTGACACTTGCATAAAATAGTCCCAAAAACTTAAGCATTTTTTGCAAGTTCTATTAATTAAATGAACTAAATTAATTAAATTAATCCTGACTTAGTCTTTGCCTAACTTTGTTCTAACTACACCCACGCTCAGCTGTTTCTTATTGAAACGTTTGTTCTTCACCTTATTACCTCTATATGCTAATGAGGCTGACGCCAGACGTCTCCAGTGAAGAACGACGGCACACTGCGGCACAACTATGCTAGCTGACGATACAGCCCGGTGTTTGGCTAACGTTAGTCTAGCTACAACCACGTTCAGCTGCCCCTCAATAATATAACATAAGGAAAGTACATTTCTTCTATTATCTGTTTCCTCCGCACAGACTTACCGTTTATTGCAGCTTGCTTTACAAAACTTTTACCGCAGTTTGCGATCAACTGTGGACCGTGGAAACCATGGAGACCAAGTCCCGCGAGACTGCACCCTCCCCCTCTTGTTGCTATGATACGGACAAACACTACAGGAAACGAGCTGTGTGACAGATACTGGCGTCCTCAAATGTATTCATTCCCTTCCATTAAAGAAAAGGCAAAATTCACAATAGTTAGTCAAATAACTAGAAACTGAAAAAGTAATAATAAATAAAAATTTACTAAATTATATTTTAGTGAAATAAGACGTTGCTTTTGAATTGTGGTTGAAAAGGAAAAAAATAAATAAATAAAAATTGTCCCGGACAAATTAGAGTACTTTGCTGATGAGCAGTGGTCCAAAATACCTGTCAACAGGTGCAGAAGTCTAAATGAGAGTTACAGAAAACACTTGATTGCAGTAATTGGCTCAAAAGGTTGTTCAACAAAATATTAGTTTACGGGTCCCATCATGCTTGTTTGCTTGAGTTTTTGTTTTGTTTTTTAAATATTTCTGTTGAACCACAATTCAAAAGCAATGTCATGATGTTCATTACATTTTTATTTATTATTACTTGAGGACGACTGTAGACAGACAGACAGACAGACAGACATACTAAAATCCAAGGTAAATCTGATCTTACCTTATCTTGTCTTATCTTATCTGAATTATGACATTTCCAGTATGAGTTGATGCTGAACAGGCACAAAGTGGTGCATAAAAATTCCCCCAAATAAAGGAAATTAAGTGTTTGACGCTTAAAATTTCCAGTCCAGGCCCCAGAATAATGTCTCACTTTAATGCTCAAATGAAATCTACATCTATCCAAGTGTGTATGGCCTAACATGTACAGGTCAATGCAACACAGCAGCTCAGTCACTCATACACTGTTCCTTTTTGAAACCGTCAGTAAATTAACACATATTTGAGGACAAATCAGAATAAAATTAAAAATAAGAAGCAGGAAAATAGAGACAAATTTAAAGATTAAAAAAACAGAAATGCATGTGCAGTAAAAGCAACTGCAGTCTACCTGTGTCTAACTTTGGGTGCAGTGTTGTGACTTGCATGGTCAGAGACTCTAAAATGTCAAGTCAAATGTTGTCACAATAATAAAATTCCCTGTATGCTTTCCTTTTAGAGTGTCCACATGACCGCATATTTGAGAGCCTATTTCCTCTCTCACTACTGGTTTGGCACTGTCCTGCAGACAAACACTGGGTAGTGAAAACATTCTATTTGGGTGGATACTCTCTATTTAGACACAGCAAATAAGTTCACTCGGTTCACCCAAAGTTAATAACATGCCAATCAACGCAGGTGTATGGAGCCTCGTTCTCGAAGCGGGGCGCAAAGTTTAATAAAACGCTGCTTTTGTATATGGAAACTGACAGCTTCCCTCCTCTCTGCTTCACATGTTAAAGTAACCCAGGCTGTTCACAACTATCAATTTCAAGTGGATGAGAGCCGCTGCTGTACATGGTGGCGTATAATGAGCATGATTTGCACGTTTGACAGAGGCAGCGCTCTCGAAAATCCTTCTCTGGACTCTGTCTTGTACACAGTGAAACCACACTGTGATGTGGGACAGAAACAGAAGGATATCTTCAGGCTCCAGTGTGGTGGGCAGCTTGTATATAGTTCAAGCACGCTCCCAGACGCTGGCTTCATAAATGGGACACAGACATGTTTTCGTTCAAATCATTCAAACCAAATAAACCTCATCTCCCTTAAAGAACAAATTCATGCGTTTACTGTCTGGTAGCTGTCCGTACATGATGTCCCGAGGCTTGAGGAGGGGTATCTGACGGCCTGTAAAACCGCTGATGTCCTCCTCAGCCTAGCATGTACAGCAGCACGGCAGGTGGAACCACTTTGTCTCTTGAACCGTTGGGGCGAGTTAGACCGAGCCTGCATGTAAATCAATCAGCAGCGATCCCACAGGGGGAGGAGACGTAGTAGCTCATCTCTAATATCAAGAGAGATCATTGTGGATGTTGTTGTTGTTAAAGGAGTGGATTTATGAGTTTGCTTCTCCCTCCAGGTATTTTATTTGGAGCAAGGGGGAAACTGTCTAAATTAAGAAGCACTGAGAGCGGGGTGCTGGGGTTGGCTGAAGGCAGCGCAGCTCAGACCAGACACAGCAGCCAGTGAACTCAGACACTGACGTAAAGCGTGTGCATCTGCGTGTGTCTGACTTTGCCTGTCTGTGAAGCAGTAAGGAGGGAAAAAAAAGAAGTGAAGACGGATGGAAGACTAAAAGAAAACAGAAAAGAAAAAGCAGGATAAACGAGGGTCTTAATACATCTAACCCGGGGTCTCATTAGGCAGCCTAATGACTGTTTGTTAAAGGGGATTAAATGAAACAATCTCCCCAGCCTGGGTCTTTTACAAAGTAAAACAAACATGCACTGTGCTCAAAAGCACCTGCTCTTCGCTCTTAGATGTTCCTCGACTAAAACTTAATACAGCATAATAAACACAACTGCTCTCCATGCTATTTCTCTGCTGCTCGGGCTCAGTCGCTGATTGAACTGCATGGAAACCCGCCGATGACACACGCACAGAGGCGCTGCAGCCAGGCCTCTTAGCACATGGACATCATGATTGCATCCGTTCACAGTGTGTCCAACCCTCCATTAACACTCAAATTAAACATACACAAAAGATGCGCGTGAGTAACAAGAGTGATGACGAGGAGGTGGGCAGACTACTGCTCCTGTTCCTGCTTTGGACAGAGCTGGAGAGCGTGTCTCCTGTACTTTTTTTTTTTTTTTTTCCTTCTTCTTCCTTTTTTTTTTTTTCCAGTCATAGATTCACATTCTCCAAAGAGCTCAGATGTTTTTACAGGCTTCGTGTCAAATTCAGTTCAGCGCCGCTCATGGCTGCGCGGTTAAAGCAGGAAAGGAAAAGGGTGACACTGGTCATTGTAATGAGCACCTGCGAGATATGTCTCACTAATCCATGTGAGTTTCTAAAATAGAGACCAGTTAAAGGG